GGAGCTTGCCTGGTCTAGGAGCTTGCCTGGTTAGGAGCTTGCCTAGTCCAAGAGCTTGTATGGTCAAAGAGCTTGCCTGGTCCAGGAGCTTGCCTGGTCCAAGAGCTTGCCTGGTCCAAGAGCTAGCCTGGTCCAGGAGCTTAGGGACCAGGCAAGCTCTTGGACCAGGCAAGCTCTTTGACCAGACAAGCTCTTGGACTAGGCAAGCTCCTAACCAGGCAAGCTTGCCTGGTCAAGGAGCTTGCCTGGTCCAGGAGCTTGCCTGGTCGAGGAGCTTGCCTGTTCAAGAGTTTGCCTAGTCCAGGAGCTTGCCTGGTCCAGGGGCTTGCCTGGTCCTGGAGCTTGCCTTGTCCAGGAGCGTGCCTGGTCCAGGAGTGTGCCTGGTCCAAGAGCTTGCTTGGTCCAGGAGCCTGCCTGGTCCAAGAGCTTGCCTGGTCCAGGAGCTTGCCTGATCCAAGAGCTTGCCTGGTCTAGGAGCTTGCCTGGTCCAGAGGCTTGCCTGGTCCAGGAGCTTGCCTGGTTAGGAGTTTGCCTAGTCCAAGAGCTTGTATGGTCAAAGAGCTTGCCTGGTCCAGGAGCTTGCCTGGTCCAAGAGCTTGCCTGGTCCAAGAGCTAGCCTGGTCCAGGAGCTTAGGGACAAGGCAAGCTCCTGGACCAGGCAAGCTCCTGGACTAGGCACACTCCTAGACCAGGCACGCTCCTGGACCAGGCAAGCTCATGGACGAGGCAAGCTCCTTCACCAGGCAAGCTCCTGGACTAGGCAAGCTCCTGGACCAGGCATGCTCCTGGACCAGGCAAGCTCCTGGACCAGGCAAGCTCCTGGACTAGGCAAGCTCCTGGACCAGGCACGCTTCTGGACCAAGCACGCTCCTCAACCAGGCAAGCTCCTGGACCAGGCAAGCTCCTGGACCAGGCAAGCTCCTGGACCAGGCAAGCTCCTAGACCAGGCAAGCCTTTGAACCAGGCAAGCTCTTGGACCAGGCAATCTCGTGGACCAGGAGAGCTTATGGACTAGGCAAGCTCCTGGACCAGGCAAGCTCCTGGACCAGGCAAGCTCATGGACGAGGCAAGCTCCTGGACCAGGCAAGCTCCTGGACCAGGCAAGCTCTTTGACCATACAAGCTCTTGGACTAGGCAAACTCCTGGACCAGGCAAGCTCCTGGACCAGGCAAGCTCCTGGACCAGGCAAGCTCCTGGACCAGGCAAGCTCCTGGACCAGGCAAGCTCTTTGACCATACAAGCTCTTGTACCAGACAAGCTCCTGGACCAGGCAAGCTCCTGGACCAGGCAAGCTCCTGGACCAGGCAAGCTCCTAGACCAGGCAAGCTCCTGGACCATGAGCTCCTGGACCAGGCAAGCTCCTAGACCATGCAAGCTCTTGGTCCAGGCAAGGACCTGCACATGTATAGGTAGTGCAGCGGACACTCTTCATTCGCGAGCGCCGATGACCAATGATGCTTGCATCCCTTCCACGCCCTTGCTGGCTTGGTAATAGGACCAGACAAGCGCAGCCACTTGACCCGGGGGAAGCAAAACGCTCGGAACGAGCGCTTTCACCCCCAAAACGTGGAAGTTGCCGCACATATGCAGGAAGTGCAGCGGGCGCTCTTCACGAGCGCCGATGACCAATGATGCTTGCAACCCTCCCACGCCCTTGCTGGCTTGGTAATAGGACCTGACAAACGCAGCCACGTGACCCGGCGGAAGAAAATCGCTCGGAACAAGCGCTTCCACGCCCAAAATACGGAAGGAGCCGCACATGTGCAGGAAGTGCAGCGGGCGCTCTTCATTCGCGAGCGCCGATGACTGATGATGCTTGCAACCCTCCCACGCCCTTGCAAGCTTGGTAATAGGACCAGACAAGCGCAGCCACGTGACCCGGCGGAAGAAAAACGCTCGGAACGAGTGCTTCCACCCCAAAAACGCGAAAGGACCCGCACATGTGTAGGAAGTACAGCGGGCGCTCTTCATTCGCGAGCGCCGATGACCGATGATGCTTGCAACCCTCCCACGCCCTTGCTGGCTTGGTAATAGGACCAGACAAGCGCAGCCACGTTACCCGGCGAAAGAAAACCACTCGGATCGACCCCCAAAACGCGAAAGGAGCCACACATGTGCAGGAAGTGCAGCGGGCGCTCTTCATTCGCGAGCGCCGATGACCGATGATACTTGCACCCCTCCCACGCCCTTGCTGGCTTGGTAATAGGACCAGACAAGCGCAGCCACGTGACCCGGCGGAAGAAAAACGCTCGTAACGAGCGCTTCCACCCCCAAAACGCGGAAGGAGCCGCACATGTGCAGGAAGTGCAGCGGGCACTCTTCATTCGCGAGCGCCGATGACCGATGATGCTTGCAACCCTCCCACGCCCTTGCTGGCTTGGTAATAGGACCAGACAAGCGCAGCCACGTGACCCGGCGGAAGAAAATCGCTCGGAACAAGCGCCTCCACGCCCAAAATACGGAAGGAGCCGCACATGTGCAGGAAGTGCAGCGGGCGCTCTTCATTCGCGAGCGCCGATGACCGATGATGCTTGCACCCCTCCCACGCCCTTGCTGGCTTGGTAATAGGACCAGACAAGCGCAGCCACGTGACCCGGCGGAAGAAAATCGCTCGGAACGAGCGCTTCCACCCCCAAAACGCGGAAGTTGCTGCACATGTGCAGGAAGTGCAGCGGGCGCTCTTCATTCGCGAGCGCCGATGACCGATGATGCTTGCAACCCTCCCACGCCCTTGCTGGCTTGGTAATAGGACCAGACAAGCGCAGCCACGTGACCCGGCGGAAGAAAAACGCTCGTAACGAGCGCTTCCACCCCCAAAACGCGGAAGGAGCCGCACATGTGCAGGAAGTGCAGCGGGCACTCTTCATTCGCGAGCGCCGATGACCGATGATGCTTGCAACCCTCCCACGCCCTTGCTGGCTTGGTAATAGGACCAGACAAGCGCAGCCACGTGACCCGGCAGAAGAAAATCGCTCGGAACAAGCGCCTCCACGCCCAAAATACGGAAGGAGCCGCACATGTGCAGGAAGTGCAGCGGGCGCTCTTCATTCGCGAGCGCCGATGACCGATGATGCTTGCAACCCTTCCACGCTCTTGCTGGATTAGTAATAGGACCAGACAAGCGCAGCCACGTGACCCGGCGGAAGAAAAACGCTCGGAACGAGCGATTCCACCCCCAAAACGCGGAAGGAGCCGCACATGTGCAGGAAGTGCAGCGCGCGCTCTTCATTCGCGAGCGCCGATGACCGATGATGCTTGCAGCCCTCCCACGCCCTTGTTGGCTTGGTAAAAGGACCAGACAAGCGCAGCCACGTGACCCGGCGGAAGAAAAACTCTCGGAACGAGTGCTTCCACCCCCAAAACGCGGAAGGAGCCGCACATGTGCAGGAAGTGCAGCGGGCGCTCTTCATTCGCGAGCGCGGATGACCAATGATGCTTGCATCCCTTCCAAGCCCTTGCTGGCTTGGTAATAGGACCAGACAAGGGCAGCCACGTGACCCGGGGGAAGCAAAACGCTCGGAACGAACGCTTCCAACCGCAAAACGCGGAAGTTGCCGCACATGTGCAGGAAGTGCAGCGGGCGCTCTTCACGAGCGCCGATGACCAATGATGCTTGCAACCCTCCCACGCCCTTGCTGGCTTGGTAATAGGGCCAGACAAGCGCAGCCACGTGACCCGGCGAAAGAAAACCACTCGGAACGAGCGCTTCCACCCCCAAAACTCGAAAGGAGCCACACATGTGCAGGAAGTGCAGCGTGCGCTCTTCATTCGCGAGCGCTGATGACCGATGATGCCTGCAACCCTCCCACGCCCTTGCTGGCTTCGTAATAGGACCAGACAAGCGCAGCCACGTGACCCGGCGGAAGAAAATCGCTCGGAGCAAGCGCTTCCACGCCCAAAATACGGAAGGAGCCGCACATGTGCAGGAAGTGCAGTGGGCGCTCTTCATTCGCGAGCGCCGATGACCGATGATGCTTGCAACCCTCCCACGCCCTTGCTGGCTTGGTAATAGGACCAGACAAGCGCAACCACGTGACGCGGCGGAAGAAAACGCTCGGAACGAGCGCTTCCACCCTAAAAACGCGAAAGGACCCGCACATGTGTAGGAAGTACAGCGGGCGCTCTTCATTCGCAAGCGCCGATGACCGATGATGCTTGCATCCTTTCCACGCCCTTGCTGGCTTGGTAATAGGACCAGACAAGTGCAGCCACGTGACCCGGGGGAAGAAAAACCCTCGAAACGAGCGCTTCCACCACCAAAATGCGGAAGGAGCCGCACTTGTGTAGGAAGTGCATCGGGCGCTCTTAATTCGTGAGCGCCGATGACCGATGATGCTTGCAGCCCTTCCACACCCTTGCTGGCTTGGTAATAGGACCAGACAAGCACAGCCACGTGACCCGGCGGAAGAAAAACACTCGGAACGAGCGCTTCCACCCCCAAAACGCAGAAGGAGCTGCACGTGTGCAGGAAGTGCAGCGGGCGCTCTTCATTCGCGAGCGCCGATGACCGATGATGCTTGCAACCCTCCCACGCCCTTGCTGGCTTGGTAATAGGACCAGACAAGCGCAGCCACGTGACCCGGCGGTAGAAAACTTCTAGGAACAAGCGTTTCCACCCCAAAACGCGGAAGGAGCCGCACATGTGCAGGAAGTGCAGCGGGCACTCTTCATTCGCGAGCGCCGATGACCGATGATGCTTGCAACCCTCCCACGCCTTTGCTGGCTTGATAATAGGACCAGACAAGCGCAGCCACGTCACCCGGCGGAAGAAAAACGCTCGGAACGAGCGCTTCCACCTCCAAAACGCGGAAGGAGCCGCACATGTGCAGGAAGTGCAAACCGCTCTTCATTTGCGAGCGCCGATGACCGATGATGCTTGCAACCCTCCCACTCCCTTGCTGGATTGGTAATAGGACCAGACATGCGCAGCCACGTGACCCAGCGGAAGAAAATCGCTCGGAACGAGCGCTTCCACCCCCAAAACGCGGAAGGAGCCGCACATGTGCTGGAAGATCAGCGGGCGCTCTTCATTCGCGAGCGCCGATGACCCCGCTTTCCATCACCCCGCCCCATTCTCCCGCTTTCCACCACCCCGCCCCATTCTCCCGCTTTCCATCACCCCGCCCCATTCTCCCTCCTTCCATCATCCCGCCCCATGCTCCCTCCTTCCATCACCCCGCCCCATTCTCCCGCTTTTCATCACCCCGCCCCATTCTCCCGCTTTCCATCACCCCTCCCCATTCTCCCGCTTTCCATCACCCCGCCCCAATCTCCCGCTTTCCATCACCCCGCCCCACTCTCCCGTTTTCCATCACCCCGGCCCATTCTCCCGCTTTCCATCATCCCGCCCCATTCTCCCGCTTACCATCACCCCGCCCCATTCTCCCGATTTCCATCACCCCGCCCCATTCTCCCGCTTTCCATCCCCATTCTCCCGCTTTCCATCACCCCGCCCCATTCTCCCGCTTTCCATCACCCCGCCCCATTCTCCCGCTTTCCATCACCCAACCCCATTTTCCCGCTTTTCATCACCCCGCCCCATTCTCCCGCTTTCCATCACCCCGCCCCATTCTCCTGCTTTCCATCACCCCGCCCTATTCTCCCTCCTTCCATCACCCCGCCCCATTCTCCCGCTTTCGATCACCCCGCCCCATTCTCCCGCTTTCCATCACTCCGCCCCATTCTCCCGCTTTCCATCACCCCGCCCCATTCTCCCGCTTTCCATCACCCCGCCCCATTTTCCCGCTTTCCATCACCCCGCCCCATTCTCCCGCTTTGCATCACCCCGCCCCATTCTGCCGCTTTCCATCACCCCGCCCCATTTTCCCACTTTCCATCACCCCGCCCCATTCTCCCGCTTTCCATCACCCCGCCCCATTCTCCCGCTTTCCATCACCCGGCCCATTCTCCCGCTTTCCATCACCCTGGCCCATTCTCCCGCTTTCCATCATCCCGCCCCATTCTCCCGCTTACCATCACCCCGCCCCATTCTCCCGATTTCCATCACCCCGCCCATTCTCCCGCTTTCCATCCCCATTCTCCTGCTTTCCTTCACCCCGCCCCATTCTCCCGCTTTCCATCACCCCGCCCAATTCTCCCGCTTTCCATCACCCCGCCCCATTTTCCCGCTTTTCATCACCCCGCCCCATTCTCCCGCTTTCCATCACCCCGCCCCATTCTCCTGCTTTCCATCACCCCGCCCTATTCTCCCTCCTTCCATCACCCCGCCCCATTCTCCCGCTTTCGATCACCCCGCCCCATTCTCCCGCTTTCCATCACTCCGCCCCATTCTCCCGCTTTCCATCACCCCGCCCCATTCTCCCGCTTTCCATCACCCCGCCCCGTTCTCCCGCTTTCCATCACCCCGCCCCATTCTCCCGCTTTCCATCACCCCGCCCCATTCTCCCGCTTTCCATCTACCCGCCCCATTCTCCCGCTTTCCATCACCCCGCCCCATTCTCCCGCTTTCCATCACCCCGCCCCATTCTCCCGCTTTCCATCACCCCGCCCCATTCTCCCGCTTTCCATCACCCCGCCCCATTCTCCCGCTTTCCATCACCCCGCCCCATTCTCTCGCTTTCCATCACCCCGGCCCATTCTCCCGCTTTCCATCATCCCGCCCCATTCGCCCGCTTACCATCACCCCGCCCCATTCTCCCGATTTCCATCACCCCGCCCCATTCTCCCGCTTTCCATCCCCATTCTCCCGCTTTCCATCACCCCGCCCCATTCTTACTCCATCCATCACCCCGCCCCATTCTCCCGCTTTCCATCACCCAACCCCATTTTCCCGCTTTTCATCACCCCGCCCCATTCTCCCGCTTTCCATCACCCCGCCCCATTCTCCTGCTTTCCATCACCCCGCCCTATTCTCCCTCCTTCCATCACCCCGCCCCATTCTCCCGCTTTTGATCACCCCGCCCCATTCTCCCGCTTTCCATCACTCCGCCCCATTCTCCCGCTTTCCATCACCCCGCCCCATTCTCCCGCTTTCCATCACCCCGCCCCATTTTCCCGCTTTCCATCACCCCGCCCCATTCTCCCGCTTTGCATCACCCCGCCCCATTCTGCCGCTTTCCATCACCCCGCCCCATTTTCCCACTTTCCATCACCCCGCCCCATTCTCCCGCTTTCCATCACCCCGCCCCATTCTCCCGCTTTCCATCACCCGGCCCATTCTCCCGCTTTCCATCACCCTGGCCCATTCTCCCGCTTTCCATCATCCCGCCCCATTCTCCCGCTTACCATCACCCCGCCCCATTCTCCCGATTTCCATCACCCAGCCCATTCTCCCGCTTTCCATCCCCATTCTCCTGCTTTCCATCACCCCACCCCATTCTCCCGCTTTCCATCACCCCGCCCCATTCTCCCGCTTTCCATCACCCCGCCCCATTTTCCCGCTTTTCATCACCCCGCCCCATTCTCCCGCTTTCCATCACCCCGCCCCATTCTCCTGGTTTCCATCACCCCGCCCTATTCTCCCTCCTTCCATCACCCCGCCCCATTCTCCCGCTTTCGATCACCCCGCCCCATTCTCCCGCTTTCCATCACTCCGCCCCATTCTCCCGCTTTCCATCACCCCGACCCATTCTCCCGCTTTCCATCACCCCGCCCCATTCTCCCGCTTTCCATCACCCCGCCCCATTCTCCCGCTTTCCATCACCCCGCCCCATTCTCCCGCTTTTCATCACCCCGCCCCATTCTCCCGCTTTCCATCACCCCGCCCCATTCTCCCGCTTTCCATCACCCCGCCCCATTCTCCCGCTTTCCATCACCCCGCCCCATTCTCCCGCTTTCCATCACCCCGCCCCATTCTCCCGCTTTCCATCACCCCGCCCCATTCTCTCGCTTTCCATCACCCCGCCCCATTCTCCCTCCTTCCATCACCCCGCACCATTCTCCCTCCTTCCATCACCCCGCCCCATTCTCCCTCCTTCCATCACCCCGCCCCATTCTCCCTCCTTCCATCACCCCGCCCCATTCTCCCGCTTTCCATCACCCCGCCCCATTCTCCCGATTTCCATCAACCCGCCCCATTCTCCCGCTTTCCATCATCCCGCCCCATTCTCCCGCTTTCCATCACCCCGCCCCATTCCTGCTTTCCGTCACCCCGCCCCATTCTCCCGCTTTCCATCACCCCGCCCCATTCTCCCTTCTTCCATCACCCCGCCCCATTCTCCCGCTTCCACCACCCCGCCCCATTCTCCCTCCTTCCATCACCCCGCCCCATTCTCCCTCCTTCCATCACCCAGCCCCGTTCTCCCGCTTTCCATCACCCCGCCCCGTTCTCCCGCTTTCCATCACCCCGCCCCGTTCTCCCGCTTTCCATCACCCCGCCCCATTCTCCCGCTTTCCATCACCCGACCCCATTCTCCCGCTTTCCATCACCCCGCCCTATTCTCCCGCTTTCCATCACCCCGCCCCATTCTCCCGCTTTCCATCAACCCGCCCCATTCTCCCTCCTTCTATCACCCCGCACCATTCTTCCTCCGTCCATCACCCCGCCCCATTCTCCCTCCTTCCATCACCCCGCCCCATTCTCCCTCCTTCCATCACCCCGCCCCATTCTCCCGCATTCCATCATCCCGCCCCATTCTCCCGCTTTCCATCACCCCGCCCCATTCCCGCTTTCCATCACCCCGGCCCATTCTCCCGATTTCCATCACCCCGCCCCATTCTCCCGCTTTCCATCACCCCGCCCCATTCTCCCGCTTCCACCACCCCGCCCCATTCTCCCTCCTTCCATCACCCCGCCCTATTCTCCCTCCTTTCATCACCCGGCCCCGTTCTCCCGCTTTCCATCACCCCGCCCCGTTCTCCCGCTTTCCATCAACCCGCCCCGTTCTCCCGCTTTCCATCACCCTGCCTCATTCTCCCGCTTTCCATCACCCCGACCCATTCTCCCTCCTTCCATCACCCCGCCCCATTCTCCCTCCTTCCATCACCCCGCCCCATTCTCCCGCTTTCCATCACCTTGCCCCATTCTCCCGCTTTCCATCACCCCGCCCCATTCTCCCGCTTTCCATCACCCCGCCCCATTCTCTCGCTTTCCATCACCCCGCCCCATTCTCCCGCTTTCCATCACCCCGCCCCATTCTCCCGCTTTCCATCACCCCGCCCCATTCTCCCGCTTTCCATCACCCCGCCCCATTGTCCCGCTTTCCATCACCCCGCCCCAATCTCCCGCTTTCCATCACCCGGCCCCATTCTCCCGCTTTCCATCACCCCGGCCCATTCTCCCGCTTTCCATCACCCCACCCCATTCTCCCGCTTTCCATCACCCCGCCGCATTGTCCCGCTTTCTATCACCCCGCCCCATTCTCCCGATTTCCATCCCCATTCTCCCGCTTTCCATCCCCATTCTCCCGCTTTCCATCCCCATTCTCCCGCTTTCCATCACCCCGCCCCAATCTCCCGCTTTCCATCACCCGGCCCCATTCTCCCGCTTTCCATCACCCCGGCCCATTCTCCCGCTTTCCATCACCCCACCCCATTCTCCCGCTTTCCATCACCCCGCCGCATTGTCCCGCTTTCTATCACCCCGCCCCATTCTCCCGATTTCCATCCCCATTCTCCCGCTTTCCATCCCCATTCTCCCGCTTTCCATCCCCATTCTCCCGCTTTCCATCACCCCGCCCCATTCTCCCGCTTTCCATCACCCCGCCCCATTCTCCCGCTTTCCATCACCCCGCCCCATTCTCCCGCTTTCCACCACCCCGCCCCATTTTCCCGCTTTTCCATTCTCCCGCTTTCCATCACCCCGCCCTATTCTCCCTCCTTCCATCACCCCGCCCCATTCTCCCGCTTTCCATCACCCCACCCCATTCTCCCGCTTTCCATCACCCCGCCCCATTCTCTCGCTTTCCATCACCCCGCCCCATTCTCCCGCTTTCCATCACCCCGCCCCATTCTCCCGCTTTTCATCACCCCGCCCCATTCTCCCGCTTTACATCACCCCGCCCCATTCTCCCGCTTTCCATCAACCCGCCCCATTCTCCCGCTTTCCATCACCCCGCCCCATTCTCCCTCCTTCCATCACCCCGCCCCATTCTCCCGCTTTCCATCACCCCACCCCATTCTCCCGATTTCGATCACCCCGCCCCATTCCCCCGCTTTCCGTCACCCCGCCCCATTCTCCCGCTTTCCATCACCCCGCCCAAATCTCCCGCTTTCCATCACCCCACCCCATTCTCCCGCTTTCCATCACCCCGCCCTATTCTCCCTCCTTCCATCACCTCGCCCCATTCTCCCGCTTTCCATCATCCCGCCCCATTCTCCCGCTTTCCATCACCCCTCCCCATTCTCCCACTTTCCATCACCCCGCCCCATTCTCCCGCTGTCCATCACCCCGCCCCATTCTCCCGCTTTCCATCACCCCGCCCCATTCTCCCGTTTTTTATCACCCCGCCCCATTCTCCCGCTTTCCATCACCCCGCCCCAATCTCCCGCTTTCCACCACCCCGCCACATTCTCCCGTTTTCCATCACCCCGGCCCATTCTCCCGCTTTCCATGACCCCGCCCCATTCTCCCGCTTTCCATCACCCCGCCCCATTCTCCCGCTTTCTATCACCCCGCCCCTTTCTCCCGCTTTCTATCCCCATTCTCCCGCTTTCCATCATCCCGCCCCATTCTCCCGCTTTGCATCACCCCGCCCCATTTTCCTGCTTTCCATCACCCCGCCCCATTCTCCCGCTTTCTATCATCCCGCCCCATTCTCCCGCTTTCCATCACCCCGCCCCATTCTCCCGCTTTCCATCACCCCGCCCCATTCTCCCTCCTTCCATCACCCCGCCCCATTCTCCCTCCTTCCATCACCCCGCCCCATTCTCCCTCCTTCCATCACCCCGCCCCATTCTCCCGCTTTTCATCATCCCGCCCCATTCTCCCGCTTTCCATCACCCCGCCCCATTTTCCTGCTTTCCATCACCCCGCCCCATTCTCCCGCTTTCTATCATCCCGCCCCATTCTCCCGCTTTCCATCACCCCGCCCCATTCTCCCGCTTTCCATCACCCCGCCCCATTCTCCCTCCTTCCATCACCCCGCCCCATTCTCCCTCCTTCCATCACCCCGCCCCATTCTCCCTCCTTCCATCACCCAGCCTCGTTCTCCCGCTTTCCATCACCCCGCCCCGTTCTCCCGCTTTCCATCACCCCGCCCCGTTCTCCCGCTTTCCATCACCCCGCCCCATTCTCCCGCTTTCCATCACCCGGCCCCATTCTCCCGCTTTCCATCACCCCGCCCTATTCTCCCGCTTTCCATCACCCCGCCCCATTCTCCCGCTTTCCATCACCCCGCCCCATTCTCCCTCCTTCTATCACCCCACACCATTCTTCCTCCGTCCATCACCCCGCCCCATTCTCCCTCCTTCCATCACCCCGCCCCATTCTCCCTCCTTCCATCATCCCGCCCCATTCTCCCGCTTTCCATCACCCCACCCCATTCTCCCGATTTCCATCAACCCGCCCCATTCTCCCGCATTCCATCATCCCGCCCCATTCTCCCGCTTTCCATCACCCCGCCCCATTCCCGCTTTCCATCACCCCGGCCCATTCTCCCGATTTCCATCACCCCGCCCCATTCTCCCGCTTTCCATCACCCCGCCCCATTCTCCCGCTTCCACCACCCCGCCCCATTCTCCCTCCTTCCATCACCCCGCCCTATTCTCCCTCCTTTCATCACCCGGCCCCGTTCTCCCGCTTTCCATCACCCCGCCCCGTTCTCCCGCTTTCCATCAACCCGCCCCGTTCTCCCGCTTTCCATCACCCCGCCTCATTCTCCCGCTTTCCATCACCCCGCCCCATTCTCCCTCCTTCCATCACCCCGCCCCATTCTCCCTCCTTCCATCACCCCGCCCCATTCTCCCGCTTTCCATCACCCTGCCCCATTCTCCCGCTTTCCATCACCCCGCCCCATTCTCCCGCTTTCCATCACCCCGCCCCATTCTCTCGCTTTCCATCACCCCGCCCCATTCTCCCGCTTTCCATCACCCCGCCCCATTCTCCCGCTTTCCATCACCCCGCCCTATTCTCCCGCTTTCCATCACCCCGCCCCATTGTCCCGCTTTCCATCACCCCGCCCCAATCCCCCGCTTTCCATCACCCGGCCCCATTCTCCCGCTTTCCATCACCCCGGCCCATTCTCCCGCTTTCCATCACCCCACCCCATTCTCCCGCTTTCCATCACCCCGCCGCATTGTCCCGCTTTCTATCACCCCGCCCCATTCTCCCGATTTCCATCCCCATTCTCCCGCTTTCCATCCCCATTCTCCCGCTTTCCATCCCCATTCTTCCGCTTTCCATCACCCCGCCCCAATCTCCCGCTTTCCATCACCCGGCCCCATTCTCCCGCTTTCCATCACCCCGGCCCATTCTCCCGCTTTCCATCACCCCACCCCATTCTTCGCTTTCCATCACCTCGCCGCATTGTCCCGCTTTCTATCACCCCGCCCCATTCTCCCGATTTCCATCCCCATTCTCCCGCTTTCCATCCCCATTCTCCCGCTTTCCATCCCCATTCTCCCGCTTTCCATCCCCATTCTCCCGCTTTCCATCACCCCGCCCCATTCTCCCGCTTTCCATCACCCCGCCCCATTCTCCCGCTTTCCATCACCCCGCCCCATTCTCCCGCTTTCCACCACCCCGCCCCATTTTCCCGCTTTTCCATTCTCCCGCTTTCCATCACCCCGCCCTATTCTCCCTCCTTCCATCACCCCGCCCCATTCTCCCGCTTTCCATCACCCCACCCCATTCTCCCGCTTTCCATCACCCCGCCCCATTCTCCCGCTTTCCATCACCCCGCCCCATTCTCCCGCTTTCCATCACCCCGCCCCATTCTCCCGCTTTTCATCACCCCGCCCCATTCTCCCGCTTTACATCACCCCGCCCCATTCTCCCGCTTTCCATCACCCCGCCCCATTCTCCCGCTTTCCATCACCCCGCCCCATTCTCCCTCCTTCCATCACCCCGCCCCATTCTCCCGCTTTCCATCACCCCACCCTATTCTCCCGATTTCGATCACCCCGCCCCATTCCCCCGCTTTCCGTCACCCCGCCCCATTCTCCCGCTTTCCATCACCCCGCCCAAATCTCCCGCTTTCCATCACCCCACCCCATTCTCCCGCTTTCCATCACCCCGCCCCATTCTCCCTCCTTCCATCACCTCGCCCCATTCTCCCGCTTTCCATCATCACGCCCCATTCTCCCGCTTTCCATCACCCCTCCCCATTCTCCCACTTTCCATCACCCCGCCCCATTCTCCCGCTGTCCATCACCCCGCCCCATTCTCCCGCTTTCCATCACCCCGCCCCATTCTCCCGTTTTTGATCACCCCGCCCCATTCTCCCGCTTTCCATCACCCCGCCCCAATCTCCCGCTTTCCATCACCCCGCCACATTCTCCCGTTTTCCATCACCCCGGCCCATTCTCCCGCTTTCCATGACCCCGCCCCATTCTCCCGCTTTCTATCACCCCGCCCCATTCTCCCGCTTTCTATCACCCCGCCCCTTTCTCCCGCTTTCTATCCCCATTCTCCCGCTTTCCATCATCCCGCCCCATTCTCCCGCTTTCCATCACCCCGCCCCATTTTCCTGCTTTCCATCACCCCGCCCCATTCTCCCGCTTTCTATCATCCCGCCCCATTCTCCCGCTTTCCATCACCCCGCCCCATTCTCCCGCTTTCCATCACCCCGCCCCATTCTCCCTCCTTCCATCACCCCGCCCCATTCTCCCTCCTTCCATCACCCCGCCCCATTCTCCCTCCTTCCATCACCCCGCCCCATTCTCCCGCTTTTCATCATCCCGCCCCATTCTCCCGCTTTCCATCACCCCGCCCCATTTTCCTGCTTTCCATCACCCCGCCCCATTCTCCCGCTTTCTATCATCCTGCCCCATTCTCCCGCTTTCCATCACCCCGCCCCATTCTCCCGCTTTCCATCACCCCGCCCCATTCTCCCTCCTTCCATCACCCTGTTGGTGCAACCCTACGGTTTGCACTCGGCTTGTTGTCCGTGTGCGTGAATGTGTGTGTGTATGGAATGGTATGAGGGCATGGGATAATATATATTTCATGCTTATAATTGTGTGTGAATGTTGAGTCATGATGCCGAGTGTGTGTGTCGAGTCAATAGCGAGTTATCGCTAGACGCGTGTTACGCGGTCGTTTGTGTCTCGCGCGCGGTTTCTATTTTGTCGTGCGCGGTTTCTATTTTGTCCTGTGTCGAACGTTCGGCGTGTCGCAGGTGTGTGCAGCAGACCCATCAAGAACTCAAGGATGAGTTTGTGATGAAGAGCCCGAGCCTTGGTGTCAAGCCTCAAGTGATTTCGAAGCTCGCCAAAAGGGTACACCTCAAGATATTGAAGATAGTTACATTACTTTGTGTAGTGTAACATTTCACTTGGTGTAGGCCCTATTGAAGGGTAGTTTCGAGACCCTTCGTGGTTGGGGACAGTGTGGCACTGTTCCACATCACTGTACCTCGGCTCTTGGGGTTTGTAGGAGCTGGGAGTCATTCCCAACTCGTAACTCTTCCTATCTTGTGTTCTAAGACTATAGTTGCTGCCATAGTACCGTTCGTTCAAACCGACGCTGTGTCGTCAATTCTTTATCAAATCGTGCAATCTAAATTGATAATTGTAGACGACGTGAATACGCTCCAGATCCAATTTGAATCAAGTCATTTGCAGCTGTGAGCAGAACGCTATCAACGTTTGAAACCGCTGTGCAGAAATCCGTCTGTGCTCTCTATCTTTCGTTTTAGGCACATTCAAGCCTATTGTGACTATAACAAGTGGTATCAGAGCCCCTTGGAGCAGTTTCGACAATGTCTGGACCTGAGGAAAGGGGTGGCAGAGGTGCTGGTGGCAGTGGAGAAGCTCAAGCTCAAGGCCAACCCCGTGATTCAGCCATGGCGCCCATGCAACCAAGTCTTGGCCCACCTAGGGATGAGCCTAGGGTGTTTGGGCTTGACAAGTTCAACGGTGACAACTTTGCTGAATGGTCCTTCAAGATGGAGAACATCTTTGACCACTATGACCTGCTGGAGGTGATGGAAGGAACGGAGAAGCGCCCCGAGAACGACCCGGAGAAGAGCCCGTGGGTGCGGAAGAGCGCACAAGGCTATCTCTTACTTGGGCAAGCGTTGGGGAGCAGTCAGATCCGTCACATCAAGCCATTCCAGCGTGAACCAGAGAAAGGACCAAAGGCATGGGCTGCTCTCAAGGGTGTACATGCTCCTGCAACAGCGGCGGTAGCGGTGGTGTTGGAACGGCAAATGGCGGCACTACGAATTGAAGAAGACGAAGCGGTTGAAGAAGGGGTGCAGAAATTCTTCGACTTGTTGACGCGGCTTGAGGGAGCTGATTTGAACTACAGTGAGCTCCAAAAGAAGACCAAGTTGCTGGCCTTACTCCCAGAGTCATGGTCCTCGCTCATCATCAACCTTAATCGCGACTTGCCCCGCCTCTCGCTTGAAGACGTGAAGCGAGCTATCCTTCAAGGGGATTTCCGCCGCCGTGAGTTGGCGAGTGCGGATGGCGCTGGGGCAGCGAGCATCGGCCGTGGATATGGTCGAGGAAGAGGCAGAGGACGAGGGGGAGGAAGGTTTGGTGGCAGCAACTTCGGCGGAGGCCGCAGGAGTGGCGGTTACGGCAGCGACGACAAGAGCTACGGACGCGGTCGCGGCCGATTCGACGGCGAGTGTCACTATTGCCACAAGAGCGGACACATGTGGCGCGACTGCTACAAACTCCCTGATGGTTGGACCCCTGCTCAAGGCCAAGAGGGTAGAGGAGCAGGAGGAGGGAGAGGACGAGGCCATGGAGGCCGTGGCGGTCGCGGTGGCGGAGCTGCAAACATGAAGAGCGGAGACAACGACAAGGACCCGAGCGACGATCGATACCCGGGTCTATTCTACTTCGTGTCGACGCAAGTACCGGCTGGTCCAGAGAAGGATGAAGGCTTTGAGGAGCCAGCAGCTGTGGGGAAGGTGACCCTACACCCCCTGGACTATTGGGTGATTGATAGTGGCGCTACCTATAGCATGACACCTCGCCCGGACTTGCTCACCGAACTCGAGCCGTCACCGGTGAAGCATGTCACATCGGCTTTGGGGCAGCGAGCAGAGGTGAAAGGCATGGGCAAGGCCATGTTCAAGGGTGCTGATGGGAAGATGGTGGGCCTCAAGAACGTGCTTTGGGTGCCCAGCCTTGCTGCAAACCTGATTTCCGTGCGGCGGTTGGCAAAGGCCGGCATGGACACGAACTCGAAGGGAGCCAAGACCTACACCGCAAGGCTTGGCGATCGAATTCTTTGGGACCTTCATGAGGACAGGGATGTCTACAACGAGATGTGGCAGATCCCAGTGGTCCCTATGCCTAAGGAGAGGCAAGTGGCAGCAAGCATCAGCACCAAGGATGGAGCGGTCGGTAGCGACGATGGCGCGAACGGTCGCGCTAAGGAGAATGAGCTCAAGAAGAGCAAACCTGGAGGGACCAGCAAGTTCAGTGAACCTAAGGAGAGTGGTGCAGCAACCAAGGAGCAGCAAAAGGGTGAGGAGAACCCAGAGGCAGCAGCGGAGGAGGACTACGGAGAGAGTATGTGGGGCGCTATTGCGAGCGCGGCATTCTCCAATCCAACTTCGGCTACGGGGGAGTGTGATTGGCTCACCTTGCATCGGCGCATGGGGCATGTGGCCCTGCCCATCTTGCAGCAGCTAGTGAAGAATGAGATGGTTGCTGGCATACGTGTGAAGGGGGAGCCCGATGAGGTGCTTGGCTGCCCGACGTGCATTCAAGCCAAGTTCACCCGGTTTCCGTTCCCTAGTTCGGAGGCAACGGCAAAGGCACCGCTTGATGAGGTGGTGATGGACGTGGTGGGCCCCCTGAAGCTTGGAGCTGCTGGAGCTGAGTATTTTCTCACCATTGTCGACGTCTACACCCGCATGACTTGGGTGTACGTGCTGGCCAAGAAGAGCGACGTGGCTGAAACGTTGAAGACGGATTGGTTCCCGATGGTGGAGCGGCAACAAGACCGTCTAGTCAAGTCAATCCGCACCGATCGAGGGGGAGAGTTCCTGAGCAAGGAGTTTGGGTTGTGGCTGAAGAAGAATGGTATTCGGCACTCCCTCACCATGCCATACTCCCCTGCAATGAACGGCATCGCCGAGCGAGCGAACCGCACAATCACGGAGGCGGCACGCGGGTTGCTCATTGAAGCCGGGCTACCCGACTATTTCTGGCCTGATGCGGTGCGGAGCGCGTGTGTGGCCAAGAACAGAGCCTTGACTCATGTGGGAGCAGACAAATGGGTGCCCTATGTGGAGTGGCTAGGAAGGAAGCCAAAGGTGGATATGCTTCGGGTGTTCGGGTGCATGTGCATGGCGCTCGTGCCTAAGCATCTTCGGCACAACAAGCTTGGTGCCAAGGCGGTGTGGGCCGTGCACTTGGGCATGGCTCAAAACAGCAAGGGATGGCTTCTTTGGGACCCATTCACCAAGAAGTTCTTGGTGAGCAGGGACTGCAAGTTCATGGAGAACTTCATGTACAAGGATTGGAAGGCGGAGAATGAGGCGAAGATAGGCGTGCGGTTTGGGGAGGTGAAGAGTTCCGGTTTGGAGCATGTGGAGCTGCCTTTGGAGCTGAGCAGCGGCAGCACAACCACAAGGCAATCCTCCCTTGTGAATGGGGGAGAGGAGGCCAATGATGCAGAGGAAGAAGAGGAGGAGGTGCAGCAAGTGAGCGAGCGTGCATCGTCACTCCCTTCCCGTACTACGAGTGCTCCACGGATTCGAGCCACACCGCAGCAACGCCAAGGCCTTCAAGTCCCTGCAGCTGAGGAGGAAGGAAGGGGGAAGAGGAGAGTTCAACCCCCTAATAGGCTGACCTATGATGCGCCGGGAAAGCAGGGCAAGACAGCCCTGGCCGGAGCGGCAATGATGGTCGGAGACGACGAGGAGAGTGACTACGAGGAATGTGCCTTCGCGTTCTTCTCTCCGGTGGAGATGCCGGGAGAACCAGCAACTCTCAAGGAGGCTTTGGAGAGTAGTGATGCTGAGGAGTGGAAGAAGGCCATGGAGAGTGAGCTGAAGAGCATCGAGGAGAATGACACGTTTGAATTGGTGGAGCTACCGGAGGGGCGTACGGCGATAACGTCCAAGTGGCTCTTCAAAATCAAGTCGGATGCCGACGGCAAGATCGAGCGCTACAAGTCTAGGCTTGTAGCCAAGGGGTACCAGCATAAGGAGAAGGTGGACTTCAAGGAGCTGTTTGCCCCTGTGGTGAAGCCGACGACGCTGCGAACCCTATTCGCGGGAGCCGCCATCAAAGGA